GAAAGAAAGAAAGAAAGAAAGAAAGAAAGAAAGAAAGAAAGAAAGAAAGAAAGAAAGAAAGAAAGAAAGAAAGAAAGAAAAAAATATATGCTTTAATTTGGTGGTTGCTACCACAATATTTCCCAGAATCTTAGGGTGTGACACCTGACACATTTAGTCTGCTTTAAAAAGGACCAGAGTTCATCAGACCAGAATGGGTCCAGACCTTTTATGCAGGTGTGAATACACTCGTGCGAACCAAATAACTAGACCAAGACCCACTTTTTGAGGTGGTTTTGGTCCGCTTTCAAACAAACTCTGGTGCGGTTCGCTTCCAGTGTGACTATAGACGGGCCTTAACCCGAACCAACTACAGGAAATGTGCCTTTTTTGGATTTCAGGAGCCTCTGTTGCTAAACAATGTGGCAAAAAAACAAACAAAACACACACACACACACAATGAGAATGCAAACCAAACAAACAAAAAACAATAATAAGTCAGCTTTTGGTTCAGCCCAAACAAGCGGACCTAAGAACTTTCCTGGTGTGAATACACTCCTAAAGTTTTACTAAGACGTTACAATTTGTTAAAATCTAAGTGTTGAACGTTTAAGCGGCCATTCTGATCTTCATAAGTCAGTTTAGCTCATTTACAGATGTATAGCTTAATAATGCATTAGTTACCAGTGTCCAGAGGATGTAGATTGTGAAGAGGGCAATGGTGAGGGCAATGAGGCCAACAGCCTCGAGCCTGCTCTTCAGCTGCAGGTGGTCCTGGGCTCCTCTCAGACACAACCAGCCAGAGATGGCTGCCAGGGGTGTAATGAGAAGGAAGCAGGCCATGTCACACAGCAAAGTGCGCTTCTCACTGCGAGGCCCAGGGTCCTTCAGCCACTGAGCAGCAAAACAAAGCAACTCAAAGTTAGCTACAGACAATAAGTCGATGCTAACGTGATCAATTATACAGAATAAAAAAATAATAATAATGACTGAACTTTCTTTTTAAACTAATAAATACAACTAAAGACAACATTAAACATATTAACATATTTTGACACAATTCCCAGTGGCTTAATTCTGATCTTACTGACTCTTATAAAGTACTTACACACTCTTTATACTAAACTGAAAGAATAAACAACCCGTTCATCGCTGCAGTAATGCTTCTCTAACCTGTGTGAGTGGTTGTGGTCGTCGTTCAATAGTGAACTCTGTGTGACACAGTTCACAGTAGCTGGTGTTGGAGGATGACAGCCACTTCTCCAGGCAGCTCTTGTGCACTTTCCCCAACGTACCAGTGCAGTCGCAGGGTGAGAGCAGCGTCTCTCCGCCAGCTCCCTCGTGACAAATCCGACACATCCCAATGTCACTGTGCAGAATGACAGGAGCAAAGACAGAAGAATTTTAAGCTTAAAAAATAATACATTTACAGTAAATACATGTGAGCTTTCCATTCGCATACCTCTGCAAGCTCACAGCTTTGACAACAGTGGAGAGTGGGCGGCCATCTTTAGCCGTAACCTTGGCAACATACTGGGCCTGTGTGGTGGAGTCAGATTCCTCTGAATCCTTGGAGGCATCGGTTGCATTGTTCCCAGAATAATCACAAAGAGAGCCAGGGAGCTGGCAGCACCCTGACGAAGACATGGCTCATCGGAGGCTTAGTGATGAAGTGATCAGCGGAGGTGACTTCAAAGAAGAACTGATCCCAAACCAGATGTTGGAGATCAGATGTGCAACGCCTCTCTGCTCCACCCACAGATCAAAAGCTGGGAGATACTGAGCAGGAAATAAACAAGACAAATGGGTCATCTAGACAAGATGATGAACAAAAACCAACTTTTGAAAGATTCAAAATATGTCCTAGCAATTGAATAGTCATACCTGTAAGCAAAAATGTAACAAATTATTGACAGAGGAATTTACCTTTTTAAAGTTACTAATGAGGTGCACAAGAGCTGACAGTCATTCAGAGCATATCCTTTCACACACAAGTTCAAGTCACTACTTTGTACAAGACASGTTCATGCCTATTTTCGGTTCTTTGAAATACTATAAATTGTTCATATCTAACCATGTTTCAGTTGCGCTGTGCACATAATGGACATTTTCCTACATAATGTAAAATATTAATAAAATTACTTTATAAATCCATCTGTATGTAAAAGTAAATAAAAATGATGGCATAAGGGACCAAAAACTGACATTGAATACAGCTATGAAGCTATATACCGTATATGGTACCCTATTTTATGTATGCACATTGGTAAAAAGGTTAATTATTTCATATTTTGAGACAAATGCTCTTGTTTGCCAAATACTGTTTTACAAGGTCAGTAGCAAACAAAAAATCTCAGTAGCAAACAAAAGTGTTGGGCTGTGGAAATACACTGATATTGTTTTTTTCTAGTTATGACAGAGATAATTCATACCAAAAATTATTACAAATACTTTGTCGACTATCTTTACTTAATACAACACATGTTGCCTGCTGTTATCACATACAATAACTGAACTGATATTACACTCTTACACTTCATTTTGTGTGTGCCGTGTTATCCATCATTTGACTACTTAAGAGAGGGTGATGGTGTGGAGGAGTAATAATGACTAGGGCTGCCACGATTAATCGACGACTAATCGATTATTAAAATAATCGATGACTAATTTAATAATCGATTAATCTTTTTTTTTGTTCTTTACTTTATTTTTCTCTCCAAACTGCTTTGACAGCTTCCACTGCCACATCTGCCTTTCTGTCCTTGACACACATGCACAGTAGTGGTAACTGGGGTAGGCCGTGGACGTCACAAGACATTATACAGACAGGCTCTGGTATCATGGCTACCTGACAACGAAGCTGAAAAGTTTGGGATCATTTTAAGAAAACGAAAGAGAAACCTGTGGAATATCTGCAAGGCAGAACTTGCCTTCCACAGCAATTATTTTTAGTTAGCATATAGCTAAAATCTAACGATGGTTATAGTATAATAGCAGCTGCATTCTGGCACGATAAGCTCTATGTTTTATATTCAGTTAACATATGATCCGATTTGTCGACTAATCAAAAAAATAATCGGTGATTAATCGATTATAAAAATAATCGTTTGTGGCAGCCCTAATAATGACATATGGTAATTTCCATTCATGAAATAATGTTCCTCAAATGACAAACTACAGCTTATAAAAAAAAACCTACCGAAGCAGAACACTTCAATTTCACCTTTAAATTGAAAAACGCAGACAAAATAATGAATAACACTAACGGTTCATTTGTTACAAACTCAAAAATGCCAAAAGGGCACTGGAGTTATAGAAACAACACTGTAGAGGTCTTTATCTTAATCTAAAATACATGTTTTATCCTTCACAAAACAAAAGCATAATTCTGAGGAACTTGAAGGTTATCAGAGGAGATAATTCGACTTGATCACACTGGTGTCTGAAGCACAGCAGGAATGCAGCACAACCCAGTGAAAGTGTTTGTTTTTCAGGTGGACCCTGAGGGCTGGGTTACGGTGGTCGTGTCAAAACAAACCAAGCGCCTCTACATTGTGCAACATAACCTCCTGGTTTGTTTAGTCAACAACACAATCTTACACAACTTTCTAAAAATAAAAAAAGCTACCTGATATAGAGGGCACTGACTGTCATATACGAAGCTGAATAAATCAAGCTTGTGGATGCTACAGCAGGTTTACGGAAACGTACTTGGAATAATGAAAAAAAAATCTTAAGATTATTTCATCATTCTGAACCACAAAAGACACGAGCTAACGTCTACATTTTGAACCTTTTTACTATTTGATGTTTTAACTATCACTAACCAATAATTAAGCTGCTACAGTACAGTAGCGTTAATTTTTTTTTTTTTTTTTCAGTAGCGTTAATCTGTGGTCAAAAAGTGTGTAAATGCGAGAACACTACGTACTCTAAATAAGCACATATCTACTATAAATATAACATTTTGTTGTAATATAGGAAAAATAAAAAAAATAAAATAAATGGCCTTTATTTTAAATGCACTCACCCGTCGGCCTGTTTTTCTTTTCTTTTTTCGCTTGGCCCACCGTTAGCTAAAAACTAGCAAGCTGAGCTAACTGGACTGCCCGAGCTTTGACACTGACATCTGAGCAAAAGTCGTCGATACCAGAGGAAACAAACGACAACCACAAATACTGCATTTTCTCCATGAAATGTAGTATTGATCTGTCGGCTTGGTTGATTCGATAAGAAGAGAAGATTACGCTTTTTTTTCCTGCCAGAATTGCTACACACAGCTAACGGAGCTAACTGGTTAGCAACGGGCAAGCCTACCTCAGCTGTGCACTGGTCATGTGACCCCGTGCCGCCTTCAGTGACATCTCTGAAATCCGAAAATGACATGTTTCATTTGATCATTTGAATTTTAAATGTTTTGTCAACGTTTTATGTCAGAGTTTGTCTGCATGCAATACTTTCTTTTTTCGGTCTAATGACTATTTGAGGTAGATTAAGAGTTCAAAATAAGTCAAAGCACAGCACATTAAAACTTAAAACAAAAACAGCTCTTAAACGCATTTTATGTCCAACTTTTTACGACACCAGTGAATATTTTTCACTGAATAAAGAAATACTTTAAAAAATGCTGCGGGCCTTAAAATATCACCGCTAGGTGGCGGCAGTGAGCCACGTGATTGTCGCGTTTCCTTTGGAGGCGCTGCTTTCCAAAAAATGGTAAAATAAACAAAACACGGAAAACTTTTTTCAAGAAGACCCATTTGCACGCAGTACATAAAAGCACAAATACATCAACAAAATAAAACAAATTATTCAGATAATTTAGTTTTGTAATAGTGCAACAGGGAGTAGTAGTGGT